TTATTAGTTTCATCTCTCACACCAACCGCTGTCTCCCTTCTCCCATGTTTTCTGTTGTTCTTTCCCCTGTAGAGGGGTGTAAGGTTATGTTCCATCATCTATTGATGCTTACTGTATCGTTGAATATTTTGCCATAGAATCCTTCAGTATTGTAACATGAATGTGTATTATTTTCTTCAGTTCTTTCAGCTTGAGATATGCTGACCATGCTTTTCTTTTTTGGCTTTCTAACTCCAAGTAATTGCACATTTCATTATAATATTTTACTTTGTTTTCTCAAGCTGCTGTTTGATATTTTTTTTCTGTTCAGTTTTTTGCTTCATCATATATTTCATTTGGATTATCTGTTCTACAATCAAGAACAGGTTTCATTCTGTTCTGACATCAAGTTTAGGTTTTTTTGTCTTTCCTGTTTGTAATTAACCTTTTGCATTCTCTGTGTATCATTTTCTTGATGTAAATCCATAACTCCTTGGTCATTTTCAGCTCACTAATGTCAAGGATATCAATCTTTATGTATTCCATTTCATTTCTGATTACTTCAATCTCCAAAATTCATTATTGGTTCAATCAATGTTTTGATCATTAATGGATGTTTGCAGCGGTTTCTTCCCATTTTGAGTTGTGTTCCATCAGCAAGTGAAGATCTCGAAAACTTGGGTCAACTCTGTTTTGAGGAGGCATCTCAACTTTAATCATATTTTGAGTGTTACTAATATGCAGGCTTCATCTTCTGGTTCTATACCAGATGATATTCCGTTAGTATTGATAAGGTTTTCAATGGCTAGTATTTTCCTTCTTAGACTTTCTTAATCTGGAAGCTGTACTGGAACTTGAGTGCCCTTGCTGGTATTTGAAATACCATTTTCATAGCTTCCAGCATCATAACAGCGCAGAAACCATAATAGGGCAAACTGATAGATAAGCAGTGGAAAATGGTTTGTAGTAAATACTACGCTTAGGATTTGTTATTATTCCCATTATCTGAATATAGTTATTTCTATTGTGCAGCTATCCAGTGAAAA